AAACAGTTGCAAACGTTTAAGCCGAGTGAGTGTGCGCGGCGCTGGGGCGAGAACCACATTTTGAAAAGGACCCACCCTCCATCCAGCAAGCTGCTTCAAACGTTTAAGACGGTGTGCGTGGCGTTAAGGCGAGAGCCACATTTTGAAAAGGACCCGCCCTCCATCGGTGAAGTCCCTTGCAAACGTTCAAGACGAATGTGCGCGGCGCCAAGACGAGAGCTACATATTGAAAAGGACCCGCAGCTGCTGAAAACAGTTAAGACAACTGTGCACGGCGTTCATGTGATTGCCACATGTTCAAAACCACCCGCCCTCCGTTCGTGAAGCTTTCGCAGATTTTTAGGAAGAATGCGCGCGGCGTTGAGGCGAGAACCACATGTTGAAAACCACCCGCCTTCCATCCGGGAAACTCTTGCAATGTTTAAGCGAATGTGTGTGGCGCGTGGGCGAGAGCCATATTTTGAAAAGCGCCCGCCCTCCATCCGTGAAGTTGCTGCAAACGTTTAACGGATGTGCGCGGCGCCAGGGCGAGAGCCACATTTTGAAAAGGGCCCGCCCTCTATCCGCGAAGCTTGTGCAGCTTGTAAGCTTCAGAGTCATAAGTTGTGGAGAAGTCTCAGGCAAATGCCCGCCTTGCCGGCACGTCTCGGGGTGCGACAAGGATTAGATACTCATCAGGAAAAGTGGAGGAGGAGAATGTGCAGGAGAAGGGGGATGAGGAGGGAAGGAGGAGGGGGAGGAGGAGGAGTAGGAGGAGGAGGAGGAGAAGAAGATGAAGGGGGGAGGAGGAGGAAGAGAGGAGGCTGAGGGAAGAGGAGGATGAGGAAGTGGGGGAAACGGAGGAAGAGGAAGAAAAGGAGGTGGAGGAGGAAGAGGAGGATGTGCACAGGTCGAGGAGACTCGCTGCATCGACCATCGTGGACAGGGAGGATGGAAAGGAGGAGGAGGAGGGGGAGTAAGTGGAGGAGGAGGAGGAGGGGGAGGAGGAGGGGGAGGCGGAGGAGGATGGGGAGGAGGGGGAGGATGAGAAGGAGGAGGGGGAAGAAGAGGAGGAGGGGGGCGAGGAGAAGGAGGAGGAGGAGGAGGAGGAGGAGGCGAGTGGCTGCCTTCAGGCGGCTCCTTCGGGCGGCTGGGGGCGGCGATCCTTTGCAAGAGCGGGCAAGAAGAGGAGGAGGAGGAGGAAGAGGAGGAGAAGGAGGACAATAGTAATAATCAATGAAGAAGAAGAAGGGTGAGCAGGGGAAGGGCGAACAGGAGGAGGCACAACATTAAGCTGGTTAGAGGGGCGACCCCATTGAGCATGCAGGGAAAACGCGGAGCGACCCCAATCAAGGGGCTCGGGGCAGGGGCTGGAAGGTGTCACACGCGGCCTGCTGCTGCTGACGCTGCTGCTGGTCTGGCCTGCGCGAGCAGCGAACAGGAGGAGGGGAAAGGGGGAAGGAAAGAGAGGGAGGCAACGACCCCTTGGGCGGGAGAGGGGGGGGGGGGAAGAGGATTGGGAGGAGGGGGGCGAACAGGGTGAGGAGGGGGGAACCCTTAAGGGAGGAACCCCGAAGGGAAGAAGGAGAGAAGGAGGAACCCCTGAGCGAGGAACCCCTAAGGACCCCCCCCCTGAGGGGAGAAAGAAGATGGGGGAAGGAGGGGCCCCTGAGGGAGGGCTCCGCCGCGGCATGTGCCTGACTGCCCCGCAGCGTCGAAGGAGGAGAAGAAGAAAAAGGACGATTCGAGCTTGCCGGTTGTGGCATCAGTGCTTCACGCCATGAGGTTGGGAGTCCTGGGCCTCGTTCGAGACAAAGGAGCAACGCATCGCCAGCAACTCTTACTTCGGAAAAGCACCATCTCCAGCCTCGCAGTGATGGGGAGTGAAGGGGGGGAGGGAGAGGATGCCTGGCTATGTCTGGTGCGTTCCTGCAGGAACCGATCCATGCACATCAGGCTGAGGCTATCGCCGTGCACGAGGGCGTCCATGCACTGGCAAGTCTCGCCCCGCAGGCACTCGGCCGTCAGGGCCCTGACTTGGGCTTGGGCTTGGGCTCCTCCTCCTCCTCCTCCTCCCCCTCCTCCTTCTCCTCTTCCTCCTCCTCCCCACCAAACCAGGGGACGCCTGCTGGTGGCTGCGGCGCACGCCGCTGCATCAGCGCTGCGTGCACCCGAACCGTACGCGCTTTGGCCTGGGGGCCGCCTTAAGCGGCGTGCGCCGCAGTCACAGCGCTTCTCGCTCCGATCCTGGGCTTGGAAGACGATCGGCGGCGAGCGAGGGGGGGAAGTGAGACAGAGAAGGCCTTCTCAGAAGGCTGCGGGGCTTCTCAGAAGCCCTCAGGATTTGCGAAGATTTCCGGCGTCCTCGGGAAAGGCCCAGGGAACTTGTCAGAAGGCTGGGGGACTTTCGAGCCTTCTGAGATGGCCCGCCGCCCCTTCTCACTTCCCCCCCTGGCGCGCCGCCGATTCGTATTGCGCCCGCAAGGTTGGGCGCTACGTGTCCTGCATATGCGCCGTGGAG